ACAGTACTGATTGCCATGAATTTTGTTATTACAAAGAGCAGTCTGGTTTTATAGCCTCTCTCTGTTTTCCATAACTCATTTTTCATTTCATGAATTCTCTGCTTGTAAGTTTTCACTTCTTCTGTTGCTGATAGCTTCCCATTCATATTCTTGAACCACTTTCTCTTGCAGAGTCATGGCTTTCTGCTGACAGAGTTCACTGAGAATTTCTGCTCCAAGGACCTGGCCAAATTCAGTGAATAAGAGTCAGGTTTTAGCCTTTGTATTCATTCATACAGCTCATGACTACTCAACACTTCATCACTCGGCTTAGAATGGAAATGGCCACGGTCTATCTGAACTATTGTTAACATCAGTTTTGCCTGGGAAAAATCTATCATTTGCCTTTTCTGATTTTCATCCTAGTGTCCAGCTGTCCATTGTTAAATTCATCCCATCCAGTCATTTTTAAAAAATTATTTTCATCCTTAAAATCAAAAGCAGTATCAAATTATCTGATCTGCACAGATTATTTTCAAAAATTTTATTTATTCTTTTTTAAGCAAGATCCGTATTTATGTCTTTCAGGAGGTTTATGTAATTTATTAGTTCACTAAGCCTAGCATAGTGCTCACTCCAGTCTTCTGTTTCTTGTAGTAACTGTACATCCTCTTCTCCAATCTAGTATTTTCTTTATAAATCCCATAGTTTCGATTCTCATCTTATCATAACTCAGTTCAACTTCATTTTCTCTTTCACATAGGATGAAATTCTTTGTAACCTTTTCATTTTCAATAGGTATGTTTTGTCAGTGTCTTTTCAGTTCCCTTAGATTCTATTCTTTCTCAATTCTCAATATAACAGACACTTCCCACAGCATTTGGTTTATTCCTTTAAGCCTATGATTGAATATTTAAGACAGACATGTTCAGAAATATTCTTTGTCTTTTGATGTTTTCAAAAGATATTGCATTTTTGACCATTTTTTCATAATTTGATATCTTTTAAATATTGTTTTATAGCTTATTTCAAACTATTAAAAAAATTTTTTTTCAACGTTTATTTATTTTTTGGGGGACAGAGAGAGACAGAGCATGAATGGAGGAGGGGCAGAGAGAGAGGGAGACACAGAATCGGAAACAGGCTCCAGGCTCTGAGCCATCAGCCCAGAGCCTGACGCGGGGCTCGAACTCACGGACCGGACCGCGAGATCGTGACCTGGCTGAAGTCGGACGCTTAACCGACTGCGCCACCCAGGCGCTCCCAAACTATTTAAAATACTTATGCAATTTATTTTTATTGATAAATTCTACCATTTAAAAGGAACATTCATCAGGGGAAAATGGTAACTAATTCCAATAAACAAATAATAATAAGAGATATCTGAGATTTATTATGAAAATCAGGACTAAGCTCTTCTGACACCTTTGCTGTTGGTGAGACAGTAGTCAAAGTACCTTCCACTGTAATTTTCCCTCTGGTAATTCCTAACATTTTTCTCTTTATTCTTGAACATTATTATATTTAAGTGTGATTTATTTTTACTTGCCATTTTGGGTATAACTTTAATCTTAGGGTTTCTATATTCAGTTCTGGAAAATCCTCATCTGTTATCACTTAAATATGGGCTTCTCTATAATTTCTTTTGGGTACTCTTGGTGATGTAAGTAAAATTTTGCCTCTTGACACAGACAGCTAGGTAGGTGGGTAGACAGATAGAAATGTAGATAGACAGATAGTTGTCTTAGTCTGTTTGGGCTGCTATAAAAAATTACCACAGGCTGGGTGGCTTGTAAACAGCAAAAACTGTATTGCTTACAGTTCTGGAGGCTGGAAAGTCTAAGATCAAGGTGCCAGCATGGTCATCTTCTGGTGAGGGCTCTCTTCCTTGTTCATAGATGGTATCTTCTCACTCTATCCTCACATAGTGGAAGGGTTTGGGAGTCTTTCTAGGGAATCTTTTATGAGGCACTAATTCCATTCACAAGGGCCCCAGCCTCATGAATTAGTCGTTTCCCAAAGGCCCCACGTCCTAATACCATCAGTTTTGGGAGTTAGAATTTCAATATATGAATTTTGGGAGCATACAAACATTCAGACCAGAGTAGATAGATAGGTAGACAGATAGATAGGAACAAATCAATATTGGATCTGTCTCTGGGCTGTATTCTACATCTTCTACATCAATTCTGTCTTCAACCATATCCAGGCTACCATTTAAATGATTTATTCTTTTTTTTTTTTTTTTTTAATTTCAATGACTTTTTTTTTCAAGGTTTCTCAAGGGTTCTTTTTCAGATAGATTTTTTTCTTATTTACCTTTAAAAACCCTTGCTCTTTAATGAATATTACTTTTTAATTTATCTCTTAAAGTATAATTAATATACTGACTTTTGTCTGATTTTTTTTAGATTAATTTTACCTGGAAAGAATTCATGATCCTATTGTTGAGTGTTGCCTTTCTTAGCATTAGATTTCTTCATATGTTTTAGAATTTTGTTTTGTGTACTCATTATGTATTCTTTCTCTCTGCCTGCCTTCCTCCCTCCCTCTCTCTTTTCTTTCGTCTTTCTTTCAATGTAGTTTTCTCACTATGTATGCCTGCTTTTCTTTCCTCTGTACTCACCCTTTCTTACCTAACTCTTTTATGTTTGTCTTTCCCTGACATCCTTAGCCTTCTAGACCAGACTGGTCTTTAAATGGCATTTCTAGGGGTGCCTGAATGGCTCAATCGGTTAAGCATCCGACTTCAGCTAAGGTCATGATCTCCCAGTTCATGAGTTCGAGCCCCTCGTCAGGTTCTGTGCTATCAGCTCAGAAATGGAGGCTGCTTTGTATTCTGTGTCTCCCTCTCTCTCTGCCCCTCCCCTGTTTGCTCTCCATCTGTATCTCTCTCTCTCAAAAATAAACATTAAAAAAAAAATAAAATGGCATTTCTAGACTTCTGTCCTAGATATATGTTGTAGATATGATAGAATTAGGCATCAAGTAAGCATCTACTGGTTTTCTGATTGAGAGACTATGTCCATATTCTTCAGCCTTTAAGCCAGAGACCTGGTTTTTTTTTTTCAGCTTATCTTCAGCATTTCCAAGTCACTGGCTTTATTAAGTGAGCCTGACTCTGGTTAGAAAACTTTTGAGTATTTATTCTCCAGGAATCATACTTATGGCCATTATTTCTATGTCTGGAACTAGAGCCAACAGGCTCATGGCTTTATCCCTGCTTCCCACTTTGCATTTTTGGTCCATTTCTAGCCTGTGGACATGCCCGTTTCTTTTTTGAATACAAATTCTTCTAAAAACTTTTTCTCTTTTTATAATTGGCCATATGTTTTGAGTAGAAAGAATAAATCAGAGCATAAACTCAAGGTGCTGTCTTCACAACACTATACTAACAAATTTTTCATATGTGTTATTTTATGTAATCTCTTCAACTTCTTTCCCTCTTCAGGGCAGATAGATATCTTATACATTAACCTATAAACCCTTACTATGCAGACCATAGACATCAGAAGTATATATTTGTTGCTAAATACTTCTTAGTTTAAGTAATTTTATAATAGAAAAAAATCTGATTCCTAATCTTAAAGACATTGTATATATGAGAATATGTCAATATATTTCTGTGCATGTGTGTTTGGACGGGTGTAAATAGATATGTATTTTCATACTTATTAGGGTCCTGCTGAGTTTACCTATTTGTGTGATTTTTTTCTTCTGCTTTCAGTTTGGCCAAGAATATCTTGAATATGATTCAAGAAATTTCTCTTTAGTCCAGAATACAGAAAGAAATATGAAATTTTGAATAACAATTTTGGACTCTGCTGCTTCTCGTAACATTTTCAATCAATTTTATTGCTTGATTGTTTTTAACCTGTTATGAAACACAGATGACCAGACTTACTCTGTGTAAGGGCTTGAGGGGAAACTAACTGGCCCACTGATGTTTTTATTCTCATGATAGTGTTTCCATGTGGAAGTTGGTAGCTCAGGATCACGTTGGGAGCCGGCTGACTGCTAAGGCCTGTGCTGCTTGTGTCTTGAACTTTCTAGAGTTTGGAAGTCATCAGTCCAACTCAGCAGCTCATTCTTTAAAACCAGAAGGGTCTGTATTTTCCTTGGCCTCTTTGTTACAGCAAATATTATAAGACCTTAATTCTCATTGTGGCCTAATTATTCTCTTCTATTCATAATTCAGTGGGAACTATTCCTACTTGAGGAAATGAGGGCAAAAATGATATAATTGAGAGTAATGGCTTGAAAGCCATGAATGTCTAGAATCTTGTGTTAAGTCTGATACATACTAGCTTGGTGGTCTTTATAGGCAATTCACTGGAAAAAAAGAAGTCTTTCTCTACTTTCAAAGTGGGATCATCATAAAGACTATTTACTGAATGACAGTAATGAGATAGCTCCTTAAAAAAATGAGACCTATAGTTAGTACCTAAACACTTTCCAATTAAAAAGTATGTCTTTAACTCAGCTGGTTCTCAATAAGAGAAATTCTAATATATGAAAATTCATATTTAATAAAATAGAAATATTGTAAGGATAATTCCAATTACAAATATATACATTTAACTGCCAACTAAATATTTGCAAGGAAGTCATCAATCATGATGAACCTGACTGAAGAGAAACTATAATCTTGAACTTAGCACTTTTAATTATTAATATAATGAAATCTTTATAAAAGAAATTTTCCTAAGACACATGAAATCTCAGTACCAATTTGCAATTAAATTCATCTTTACTGATGATAAACAGGCAGCATGAATAAAAATTCTGAATGTTCAGTGTTCTTAAGTAATGCTAGATGATTAGACATCTGGCATAGGTTTTATAATTAACTGAAGCTTAAGAGTTATGCTGATAAGCTGGCCTTTACAAATATCTGGTCCTTTCTTTGAGGTTATTAGTTAAAAATAGTGATAAAATACATCAATAATGATTTACTAGCCATTTTGGAGTAAGAAAAAAAATATTAAACCACTTTCAAAAAATTCTTCTTTGTATTTCAGGCCCTCCGGGGAAACGAGGTAAGAGGGGCCGAAGAGGAGAATCTGGTAAGTCTCTCAGCTGCTCTTTGTCATTAATGTTTTGGTTAGATTCCTGCATCTGTTCCTCCTAATTAATGATTATATAGTCTTGCTGGAGGTTGCCCACAAGCTTGTGCATGTGTCTAAATCTTCTCTACTCGACCTAGAATTTTTTTTTTTATCATCTCCTTATTTCCATCAAACCATAGATAGAAGTTTGGAAAATATTGTTAAGTTGTTAAATTTGATAACCACTGGCACCCAATTTGGGGTTATTTACTGTATCAGGTTAAGTTGGTCCTTTTTGTGTACAGTGGAGACTTTTTTAGCTTCATACAGTGTGGCAATATCACCCATGCTTCTGTCTCCATACATGTACATGCATGGAGAAAACATCTTTGTGAGAACACATCTTTGTGAAAACATCTGCTTTGGGACACTGGGGCACATGTCTTGGAAAGGTTTATTGTTATTTTATCCAACTGGTACAATTTTGTCATGCTTTTACTCTCATTCATTTCAAAATTTGGAATTTTTATTTCTCTCATATAACCCTAGGATTTTAGTGATGACAGCATCTTTAGTAATCAATCCAGCATTTTCATTTTGTAGTTGAGGAAATGGAGGCCCCAGAACAGTCAGGTGATCCAGCCAAGGCCACGCAAATTTTTAAGAGCAGAACTTGAAACAGAACCAATTGTCCCGATGCCTATTCCAGTGAGTTTTTGCTCTTAGGCCAAATCCCTATATGTACCTTCCTCTTACCTTGCAAGGAAGAATTGATGGCCTGATAAGACTTCGCATGGTCGTTTTGGAGCCTTAGACTTTATAAAACAAGTCAAACAGTAGGTGCACACACTATTTGGATATTTGGTTTCAAAAAACATTTTTTATTTGAGTTTTTTCTTCACTTTGAAAGTAATTCAAGGTTTGATTCAAGTACGCTAAGAAATGCTCTTTTCCAGTAGAAACAGTAAAAATACTGATCTATGAAAAAAAAGGAACAGATTGATTTGTAGTGTTTTTAGTTTTTTGTCTCATTTCCTCTTCTTTTTGGAAAAAAATATGTTGAAGTGAAAGAGATTTATGAAAAATTTACTAATTTAGGCAAGATACCTGCTTAATTCCCTTAAAAGTGTTCCTAAAAGTTATCTTTCAACCTCATTTAATCTAAGTAATTGGAAGCTTGTACAGGTATCCCTTTCACAAAATGCAGTTTTATATTTAAAGATGGATTATAAATGTATTTTAAGGAAAAAGAAATAATAAAACATTAGCAGAGTCAAATAGTTGGTGAATTGATCTTTGTCAAAAGAAATAAAAAGGATTGGGGGGGGGGGAAAGTAAAAATTTTGTACTTATGTGAAGTTTTATAGAAATTTAAAAAGCCAATTCCTAACTTCTTGACTACTAAAAACTTGTGTTTGTGTTTTAATTGAGCATACAGTGTGCAAAATATTGAAATTTCTTAGACTTTGCCTATGTTTTGATGAAAATACATAGTTTTAAAGAAACATATAAACATCAGGGTTTAGTCTTTTATATATTGACAATGCTACTGAATGAAAAACATTTTTAGAACAAATAATGGGTGCATTTCTCATTTAGCCATTTTACCAAACTCCAGAAAGTTATATATCAATTCTTTATAACTGGGCTATCATCAATGACCAAAGATCCTCCTGATTCACATTTTATTTAAATTTTTAGCTATATAAATAGGCCATCTTAAGATGAGCCTTTCAGTAATTCATAGAGAGGCCTCAGGGAATCTGAACATCCATTGAAACTTTATATAAAGTTTGTGTGCAGATAGATGTAAATACACTTTTATGATATGGATAAAATGGAAATGGATATGTATATGGATAAAATGTATGGATAAATACACTTTTATGATATGGATATCAAAGTTGTCCATGACCTAAAAAAAGATTAAGAACCATTGAACTCTAGATGACTTCTTTGTCCCTTGTATTTTGATGATGATTATGACAATGCTTTCATCTTTTATTTAATCTTCATATTTTGCATATTCACTAATTCATCTCTCCCTTTCTCTTATTCTCTCCACCCCACCCCTACCCCACAGGTCCTCCTGTAAGTATATTTGCTGCATTTGGGATCTTCTACGTTAATCAGGATCATGTATATTAAAACTATGTTAAGACATCAAAATATAGTCTATATTTCAATTAGAAAAATGTTACTGACCTTTGAAGGATATCTAACATTGGGAAATTATTTTTTTAGTACACTATTTTGGATATGTTGAAGTGTAATATGTGTCAATTAAAAAAGACTTTATTTTTGATACGCTCACAAGCCAATTACTCTCTTGGGACTTTTGGACAAACTTATGAAGCTCCTGATATTAAATACTTTTCCTGGAATTCTGAGGTTTCTCTTGCAAGCAAATCCCCAAGCTATTTCGCACTTCTTTTTTCATCTGTTTAAACTTGTATCTGAAATATTTGCATTTGCCAGTCCACCAAATGTAGATGGCAACATGATCATGGAAATGATACCCCCCGGGGGCTTGGTCTGGTACTCCCTCCTTAGGCAACACTCCCTTTGAAGTCCCTTGGAGTTTGCCTGCATAAAGAACATGAGATGGAGCCCTTGGAGAGTTGCACTCTCTTTTTTCGTTCCTTGAGTAGGTCAGAGCTGCCGCATTCCAGCCTGCTTTGCACTCACAGGAACAGATTATCTTGTCAGCTTTGAGCTGGATGTGTTTTTGAGTAATAATATCCTGGATATCTGTTGTCTGACCCCAGTGTTTGCATTGTCCACTGTACATTTACGGTAGCCATGATCATTGGCCTTGAGATACTTTCTCATCCCAAATAGCCAGTTTGCTCCAGGGTTCAAAGACTCCACATTGGCAACTTATCTAACAGGCCAGCATGGTCCAGGGAGAGGGGCTTAGCATATACTCGTTTACTTTATTCAGAGGAAGCATTGGCTTCCAAATATCTTTTGCAGTCTTCCTGCCACGTTCAAGGGTGGAACATAAATCATGTTAGAAATGACTTTGCTTCTGTAACTGACTTTCAGCTCTTGCTTAATGCTAGGCAGATGGTATGCCCCAGGTCTAGGAACTTTATTCTTTCGCTTCATATTTAAGCCTCTGTCTTTAAAGCTAGAAGCAAACCACTACTACCCAGAGGAAACTCTGGAAATTACAGCCAGAATAGACAGTTCAAGACTTTTTTGTGTGTGTGGATGTGGATGTAAGTAAGTATTAGACATGCGAAGGTGTAGTTAAATCTTGCTTCTGCCAAATGGTGACATTTCGGGTTCTAGTATTTCTTCTTTGGTCCTTCACAAATTTAGGCAGCCATCTAGATCCTGCTTTCTTGAAACATCTATTAGTCCAGGATCTCCACTAAAGATTTAATTGTTCTTTCCTTTCTTAGTATATAAAAAGAAAATAGAACTAATGTGTTTAAGCCCCAAGTACAGGCATACCTGGAAAATATCATGGGCTTGGTTCCAGACCACTGCAATAAAGCGAATATCACAATAAAGTGAGCCAAGTGAATTTTTGGCTTCCTAGTGCATATAAAGGTTATGTTTACACTATACTGTAGTCTGTTAAGTGTGTAATAGCAGTATGTTAAAAAAAATAAGGTACCTACCTTAATTAAAAATATTTTATTGCTAAAAATGCTAATCATCATCTGAGATTTCACTGAATCATAAACACTGATCACAGATCACCATAACAGTTATAATAATAATGAAAAAATTTGAAATATTGTGAGACCTACCAAAGTGTGGCACAGAGAAACAAAGTGAGCAAATGCCATTGGAAAGTGGTGCCTGTACCTTGCTCAATGCAGGATTGCTGCAAACCTTCACTTTTTTTTTAAATTTATTTTTTTATTTTTAATGCATTTGTCTTTTATTTTATTTATTTATTTTTTAAATATGAAATTTATTGTTAAATTGGTTTCCATACAATACCCAGTGCTCATCCCAACACCCTCCTCAATACCCATCACCCACCCTCCTCTCCCTCCCACCCCCATCAACCCTCAGTTTGTTCTCAGTTTTTAAGAGTCTCTTATCAAACCTTCACTTTGTATTAAAAAAAAAAAAAGATACCCGTGAAGCCCAAAAAAGTGAAATGTAATAATAATGAGGTATGTCTACATGTGGCAGGCAATAGTCTAGGAACTTTACACACATACTTCCGTTTTGCCTCACAAAATTCCTGGTGTTACCATTCCCATTGTTCAGTGAGGAAGACTCATAGAGGTTAATTATCAATAGTTTTACCTCTAGAGAGGGTTTACAAAGTTGGAATTCAGTTAGATGTGTCTGGTTCAAACCCTTTCCACTTACCACATTATCCCTATTCCTTATGAGTTTTGAGTGTGTTGCAACATGAATCATTGTGTAACAGTGGTAGGCCATGGGTCCAATCCTGTTTCTTTATATAAATAACTGTGTATAATAAAAACATGTCCAAAAAATGTAAAGTGGTTGATTCATAAAATAAGCATTCATACTGTTCCATCTCGATTGCATTTTAAAGAAGTTGTAATGTGTTTAGCAAACCGCATCAAATCTAAGAAATAAAGTATAATCATGAGTTTTTATACTGACTAAAAGATAAGTCACTCACATTTGGTAAGATGAAAAACCATCGATTGTGAAAAGGAGAAAAAAAATACGTATTGATTATGCTATCTTTACTAATACAATGGAGTCTTATAGTACTTGGAACCCCATATCATGGGAATCCTTATGGGTGAAATATCTTATAATGGAATCCTGTTGAGGCTCTAATTTCTAATAAACCTTCATATATGATTTTCAAGAAGTATTTGCCTTATATCAAATTTTACTTCAGAGGAGATCACTCTATAAAATATTCCCATTATATATCTTGCATCTGAATAAAAATCAGTAAGCAGTGGCATTATTATGATTAAATAGGCTTACCAATGATATATTGAGATATAATATCCAATTATTAACAATTATAACTTAAAGTGACCATAGTCTTCCTAGTTTTAGCATCATTTAATTTTATGTGTATTTTCCCCTTCCATTTCTTTTCCATGAACTGAAATCTGAAAGTTTCTGTAATTTTATTTTTAGAGAAATTTTATTTTCCTTTTTTGTGTTTTTAAAAAGTATATTTAGCTATCTGCACAAATAAGAAATTACAGGAAACATCAATGCTTACGCTGCCATTGTAATGGCAGTTGCCCTTGCCTCCATCCTGTAAATACAACGTAAGGCACAAAGGTAGTCTGAAAAATTCCATAGTCTTCCTTCTGGTGAGCAATTTGTGACACTGAACCTGTGTTAGAATACTTAGCACAAGGAAATTCCTCAAGCTTCCTTCTTGCCACGAGCTTCTGTGCTGCCATGGCTTCCCATGTACAGAAAGATTATGAAGTGTAACCTGGTGTTGGGGTTTGTATTTTCTTGTCATTCACTTGTGACATCTGCTCAGTTGTGCAAAAAACAGCATGTGGACACTTATGAAACAAACAAATGAAAGATTGATTGACAGTAACAGATCTCTTTTGTCACTAAGAGTCACCTTTTCATTGCCCTCCTGAAGTAATCACTCTGAAGTAAAACTAAAAAAACAAAAAAGCATAATGATAAAATTTAATTTTACAACCTTACATTTACATCTTCATTTGATATATTGGATATTTCCCACTAGATTAGTGTGTGGCTGAAGTGTTTTTTCTTCTGTCAGTTTCTGTATCTTGCATATTGAGGTCATTTATAATTTAAAACTTGAAATACAACTTGAATTAGATCCCACGTATCAATTCACTCTTTAGGAAGGTGTTCAGCTTATTACTCGGTTATCTATTTTGACAAAAAGATATTGCTACCATAGGGGTCTCCATTATAAAAGGCTGCAATGCAGCAATTTTATAATAGTATGTGTAATTCACTTTTACATGAATAACAGGTACTTCTTTCTATTTTCTTTTTCATAAAGGTAACATGTAATAAAACATTGCTTTAAAGGAATCCATGAAAGTGCCTTGAATGCCCAGCTTGGATATCACAAATGTGTTTCTAGAATGATTTGCCTGACTGTTGTGATGCCATGAAATTGTACCGCCTACTTTGGATTTCTTAGAAATGCAATCATGTTTCAATAGGAAGCAAAGAGTCAGATAAAAATTTACAAAGTGATTTCAGAGTTTTTAAATGTAGCAAATTTTGCACTACTTTTGACCTTTCTTAGAATCAGTGGGGGATGTGGTTTCTCTGTCCTTTTGTCCCCAGAGGAGACGCTATTCTGATATTCAAACAAGCCCTATAACTGTAGCCAGAAAAGAGTCCAGAGACCTGTTTTAACTGGCTTTGTATTTGTATCAGTCTATCAAGCCATATAATTGTGCTTGACTGACAGAGATATGATGTTATTGTTGGTAGCATAGAACCCTCTGAGGTGCGAAATACGACGCTCTTGTGTAGCCCGTTCTGTCCCATCTACCTTCAGCAATTGTCAACTCAATTTGAAGCCCAGAATCTTGTTGACAGATGAATGAAGCAGACTTAGCCAAGTTAAGCTGACAATGCTATTTCTGCCAATATGGTAGATGAATTAGGAAAAAGAAATCTCTGAGGAAATTTTAGATGAAAAACTCTGATATCTTTACTTCATACTGAAAAAACAACATGACTTTTAAGTCAATAGTAAATCTTTTCCAGATTCACTAATAATTACAATTTATGGTAACTTCCTACCTATGTGTTACTTTATAGACCAAGTCTCATACCAGCCTTGTGAACTAGAGATTTATTATACCCATTTTATAGACTAAGAAGCTGAGCGTTGGGCAAGTCAAGTTATTTTGCCCTAGTGCTCACATTTAGCAGGAGGCAGAAACAAAATTTGAACCCATGTCTATCTGTAGCTCTCTGCAAAGCCCCTTTCTACCCCATATTTCTGTAAGATGTTTTTCAGGCAAGTAAGATTTAAGATTTACCACTTTCTTTGCAAATGCCTTCTCTGTTGTGCCCTTCCCTCTATCATCTATGGTTCATATTAAGCTTTTCTTAGTTATCTGTAGATCTCCTCCATGTGCTGTTTCTTTTTTTAAATTTTT